GGTCGCCCCGCCCCGCCGCTCAGCCCGCTCGCTCACGGCCCCACTGCGTCGTCACACTTGTGCGCGTGCTTGCGATCCGTGAGAGGCGTGTGCTCACGCAGCCCGGGCCAGGGGCGGCTGCCACGGAAATGTGTGTTTTCTTCACCGTGGGTTTGCTTTTTCTCCAAGCTACAGTTTGGTGAACAAATGCCGCAGACCCGGCGAGGAGCGTGAAACGCAGCTGATGAGAGCTGCTGATTTGGGTCCTGGGGCCCGGCGGTGGCCTGGGCTGGAGGGTCTGTTTCTGTCCCCAGATCTGTCAGTGTGAGGCGGGAGACGCTGAAAACACCTGAATGTGGACTGAAAAGCAGCGAAGCCCAGCTCGGAGAAGGCCCAGCTCCGGGCCTGGGCAGGTGGAACCTGCACCTCCTCCTCCTCCGGACCTAAGCTTCCCTGTGACTTTGGAGGTTCCCCAAGGACAGGGACAGGCCCGGGACAGGCGCCCGGGGGCGTTCCTGAGCCGCTGGGGGCCTCAGGCTGTGGGTTATTTCCTAGCTGCAAATGGGCCTTGGCCTCCAGATTTTTCTGTCCCTTGAGTGCCATGATCACCCCTCCGCCCAGAACAGAAAGGAGGGGAAAGGTTGTGCTGAGATCCCGGGGAGGAGCAGGAGCCTGACCTGAAGGCGGACTGAGGCAGTTACTGGGCCAACCGCCAGGGCGTTGCGGGCTGGGCTGTGTCACCCGCAGGCCGGAGGGACCAGGGCCAGGGGAAACGAGGGCGACTCCCTGACGTGACCACTTCCGCTGCACGCCTGGAGCTCTAGTGCTGAGTCCCTGGGGTGGCGCGGTTGACACAGTGCTCAGCCTGTGGTGCGGCCTGTGCTGGCTCCTTTCGCCCTGGATAGCAGGGCTGGTCCCGCTGGGGTGGAGGTTGTTACGCAGCGTCGAAGCCTTTCCTTACATATCGCAAGTCTGACATGTCGGTGTCTGTGAGACAGCACCTTTTCTATCTTTATCTCTGCCTATAGCATCTCTTTACTGCCATTAAGAATAAGAATGAATGATGGGGTGTGTGTGTGTGTGTGTGTGTGTGTGTGTATGTGTGTGTGTGGTGTTGTACTAGGGACTGAACCCAGGGCCTTTGCACTGAGCTACATCTCCAGCCCTTTGTTTTTCTGTTTTTTATTTTAAAACAGAGTCTGGCTAATTTGTTAAGTTGCCCAGGCTGGACTGAAGCTTGCAGTCCTCCTGCCTCAGCCTCCTAGAGTTCTGGGATTATAGGTGTGTTACTTCATGGTAATATCTTAAGTTGTAGGAAGGATTTTGAGAAAGGATGATTTATCAGCCTCCTTGGTGGAGTGTAGCTGGATGACCTGGCTGAGGAGCCTCCTGGGTGTCACTTTGGTGTCAGTGTGTGCAGCATCTGGGAACAGCTGTGTCGTCTGGGCCTAGAAGGTAGTCGCAGCAGTTAGTGTGGACAAGGCCCAAGCCCGATGGCCCCGTGATGCTGTGTGAAGGGCTCTGGAGTCACCGAGGTGGGAAGGTGTGTGAATGGCCGTGCCCACACCTGGTGGATATTAAATTCTTTCCTTTTACCTTAATGTGAGTCATTAAACAAGTTTTTATCATTTAATTCGGTGAACATGATGGGCTGTGTTTAAAACTGAATTTTTGATTGTACCTGGCATTGAACTCAGGACCTTGCACTTGGGAGGCAGGTCGTGACACCATTGAGCTAAATCCCTGGCCCCTGAAACTGAATATTTTCAAGTACCCCGACTTATTAATTCCTAGGCTCGGTAACTTAATGGGTCTCTGAAATAACTGTAAATCCAGATGGTATTGGGACCCCACCCTCGTGTCAGCGTTGCTTGGGTGTCATGACTGTCTTTTGTTAAGGACTTGAAAGTTCTTTGTTTTAGATTTTAAACTTCTCTTAAAGGATAGGGACAAGCCGTGCTCTCCATAATTGTATTTTTGCCCCTACAGAGTAGATGACTGAGTGGCAGAAACAGGGCTGTGGATGACTCACGTTCTTCTATTTGAAACACGAGTGAGTCGCACAATTCTTTAGTTTGTATTGAAGCCAATTGTTAAAGTCGTTAAATTTTCTTAACCTTATCCTAAAAATCAAACAAAGCTAGCTTTGGTCATTATTAACCAGTAAACACACAAATGGCTTTGGTGGTAGTTTGGAGTGGTCTGTTGGTTCTTGGCGTGTGTGTAGCTGTTTAGCACATAAACACAGTATCAGGTGTAGGCTTTGCTGCTGCAAGTAATAAATTCTCAGCCACACAAGAGAAAGAAGCGATAACCTACAGAATGACAGCATAAATCTAACTGGAACCCATCGAAGGGAAATTGTGCCTGGCGATGCTTGTGTGTGTGGCTGGGGCCAAGACTTCACTCACTTCGGTCTGGGGTGAATTGTGATTTCGAAGGTAGTGAAATCCCAAGACAAAGTGACACGGCAGCAACGGCAGTTATTTGCCTCATCTCTCTTCTAATAAACATTCGACTAAGGTCATAATGAGTGAGGGTGAGAAAGGTGATCCAAAAATGTCAAAAACAGGGCCAGGATTTAGCTCTGGTTCTGCTTCCTACCTCACAAGCGCAAGGACCTGGTTTGATCCCTGGTACCAAAACAAACAAACACAAACAACAAAAGTAGGAGACGCCAGAGCTGGAGATTTCAAAATATTTTGTGGAAGATTTTTTTGAGAGAGGGAAGTATGGTTGGGATGGATCGGGTGGGAGGAGCCCCTGCTTCAGATGAGGACCCTGGCAGAGGTGGAGACTGTGAGGACGTGCGCAGGCTGGAGGCAGCAGAGCAGAGCTGATGGGGTTAATTTCAGCTCAGAGCAAATGGCAGGCAGGCTTTGGAGTGCACCGTGGGAAGTGTCTGGGAAGTGTCGGGAGGGAAGTAGGGCAGGCAGGAGCCCCAGAGCTCAGCAGAACTCTGCCCGGCATCTAGGAGACCTCGTTGTCACAGCCACTGTCTGTTCCTTCGGCTCTGCTGAAGGCTGCTGGACTTTGTTGACCCTGTGCCGTAGACACTGAGTTCCCAGCCTGTGCACCTGGGTTTTGATTCTCCAGCATAAGCCACATTGGAAGGGTCGCCTCCACTGGTCTGTCATCCCTGTGACCCCAGCGCGACCTGCTGCCCTGCCCTGTGTGACCTGCAACAGTGCCCCTTTCGGCTTCAGAACACTTTTCCCTCCTCTTGCCTTGAGCCGCATTTCTCTGGGTTCGCGGATTTTGATGGCTCCGCTTTAGTGTCCTGTGGGGACCCCCGGTGGGTGGGACTCTAGTGTACGAGGTGCCCAGCGCGTTCTCGCCCCTTCTCCACTGTCCGGGACAGGGCTTAGCGCTCCTTCCTAGAGGGCCCGGGTAGGACGCGGAGTAGGTTCGCAGATCTTGAAGTCGCCACAGCTGCTGCGCTCCCACTTTGGCGCCACCGTAGGCAGTAAGCCTGTGATTGTTACTGTGGCTGTGTCACGACAAGGCCTTATGTACAACAGCCGCAGCGGGCCTGCGCTGGGTTTGCCCGCGTTTGCTGATCGCTGCTGTTGCTCTAGGTGATTTGCCGAGTCCCTTGGATCGAGGGCCAGCTGGGGCTCCCAGGTTAGCCTCGCTCTCTTCCTGAATATGAGCGTCCAGCTTGCTGCTGTGTTTCTACTTAACCAAGGAGGTCTGCAACAGACGTCCACACCTGCCGTCCCTGCCCAGCTTGTTTCTGTCCCGATCACAGAAGGGTAATTAGCACATCGATCACCACAAACACTTTCAGTTTCTTCGTAGAAGAACATTCAAAGCCTCCTCCTAGGTATTTTATAGGACATAGTACACTGCCTGTCGTCACTGTACCCTTCAGTGGAACAGAGCCTGTTGTCATTTAAATCTGAAATGTCCTCCAAAGTCTTGTGTTCCTGGGTGGGGTTCTGGAGGGTGACTGGGTCTTCAGTCGTGAGCTTACGGCTGACAGTGCTGGAAGAGGTAGGTCACAGCAGTGTGACCTGGAAGGTGTATTCTTTTTTTTTAGAATATATATTTTTAAATTGACCATTTGACCACAAGCAACTGAATGAATTCTCCAGAGTGGACACATTTCCTAATTACACATTCCCTAATTATAATAAAATAATATAAGCATGTGCACACAAACATTTAAAATCTATGTACTTGGGTATTAGCAAAAGTATTCTAAGTGATTATTTTGTTGAAGAAACCAAATTAGCATTATAGAGCACTTAGAAGTAAGTACTTTCAAAACCTGTTGAATGTAGCCTAAGTATTAATCAAGATTTAGAGTCCTAAATTTAATCCTTGGAAAAAAGTACTAAACAAATTAGGTAAATATTCAAGTCAATAAAAAGGACAAGAAATAAGCCTTAAAATGTTGCAAACAGAAAGTAATAGAAATAAAAGATAAAAATTAATGAACTATAAATGTACGAAAAAATGCAGCCTAGGAGGAGTATTCTTGTCCTTGGCTCCTCCGTTCTCTCTCCCTGCTTCCTGGCTGCCATGAGGTGAGCAGCTCTCCTCCACCAGGCCCTTCTGCCGTGGTCTCCTGCTTTGAGTTAAGGACATCGGGCATTGTGTCCCAGAGGCAGAAAGGTGCCCATGACGGCCAGAACGGCATCCTCTTGTGAGCTGCAATATTGTACCTCTAGCCAGCCTCTCCTCTCAGGAAAGGCAGCAGGAACCAATCACCTAGGAACCATTCTTGGCTGCCTTTCTTTATTTGCACACCTAGCTCATGAGCAGGTACCTTGGGAAAGGTACCCAGAAGACCATTCCTTCTCTCTGCTTCCCCCTCACCACCTTATCCTGCCACCATCATCTTCGCTGCATAACATAGCCTCCTCCTGGTTCTTCAGAACACCAGTGCTATCTGCTTCCCTCGAGATAAATGTGCAGCATTTACCTCGGGATGGAACGTGGGTCTCCTCCGATTCCCTGGCCCGGTGTCTTCTCTTGGGTCACTGTTTGCCTGCTGTCCTGGTCTCCTTGAAGGTTCTACCCTGCGTGCTGTGTCCTGAGCCTCTGTGCTTTCTAAGCCTGCGGGGCTCCTCCTTGGTAGCGCCCTCATCAGAGCGCTGCATTTCCGTCCTTCACTCCCCTGGTGAGCCCTGCCCCTTAATGCTCCTCATACCTGCTGGTGAGTGCTGCATATTCATTGCCTCTGTCCGGGACTCTAATGTAAATTACACACGCAGGGAATTAGAATTCTTATTCCTGCCACGTAGAGTCATGTTTGGTGTACAGTAAGTGTTCCGCAAATATTTACCGAATGAATTAACATAAGGAAAACTTACAAATTAAATAAAAACAGAAAGCAGAAATAAGAGAACTTGAATTTTGAAGTCGATGGATGTCCTCTGAGATTTTAAAAGGTATTGATTGTATGCAGGAACAAGGAAGAGAAGCTCTGACCACATAGCAACAGGAGTTCTTGGGAATTAAAATGTGATTGTTAAAAAAAAATCCTCAATAAAAGGTGTGGTGGGCTGAATGGTATTCTGTCCTTTTAGGCCATGACATTTGTGGTAATTGTTACAGTGGCTTTGAGAAAGTAGTGCAGATAAAAAGGAAGCAAAGAAATCTACCAGAAACAGGCAATGTCAGTAAAATGCAAAGATGTGAAGATTCTAGGACGTTCAGCATTGAGTAACATTAGTCTCAGAAGGAAAGAACAGATAAAATGGAGAGGGAGCTATCAGGGGTAACAGGACGGAGCTAAGAAATACACTGTGGGAAAGGCATGGAACATTCAGTTATTGCAGAACGCTTTGTCAGCCCGGAAGTGGGGGTTGGGGATAAAGTGCAGAAGACAAAAATGCAGGGAGAAGAGTGAGGAAGGCAGTGAAAGGCAGACTAGTGGGACCAGAAACACGGTCTATTTGTGGTGGAGCAGGGGGGCAGAGTGCTGAATTGAGCCAGGAACTTCAGGGAGGTAGCTTGGGATCAGATTAGCAGACTTTCTTTGTCTGAGAATTGGAACCCGTAGATAATTTCCCAGTTGTAACTTAGAGCGGGAAGAGAACCAGGGGACACCACAGAGTTAGAGAAGGCGGTCACCTGTGGGGACCTGGATGGCAGGGGCGGGATTTCTGCTTTGAACCACAGGTGCCCTGGTTTGATGTGACAGTCAGAAAACAGACATTTTAGAAAGTTACTGGCGGCGGCAGCCCACTCTCGAGCCTGTGCTTCAGAGAGAGCAGCTTGGCCACCGAGTCCTCTTCGGCTCAGGCAGGGTCCGGCTGAGGTGCGGGTCGGTTCTGATTCTGCAGGAAGCGGCCTTGATTGCCGCATCCCTGCCTGTGGCCTGTGTGTGAGGTGTGTGTGCGTGTGTGTGTGTGAGAGAGAGACGCGGCCCCCTTCGGTCTGAGAGCGGGCCGGGATCGCCAACCCTGGGACCTGTCCTGCATCCATCCTCCGCCCCAGAGAGTGGCCATGAACACACAGAGGCCCCAGAGGGACGGCGGTGACAGTTCTCAGGTGGGCCGTGCTCTGTCTTAGCTAAGGGCACAGATTGCTTTCTGGCACTTTTTTCTCCCAGGATCTAGCACGTCGTGCTTTAGTACAGAGAGCTTGGTGAATGGGTGTTGCTTAATGGAGAAACCATTCTGCGAGCTGTCGCTGCCGCAGCGGCAGGTGTCATCTCTCAGGCTCCGGTGTGCGTTTCTGTGTGTGAAAACGTTGCCACTCTGAGAGCTAAAGCTGTTTTATCGTTTTAAACAGAAATACGTGCTTTTATTCTTTGTTTCTTCATTATGATTTCCTCCTTTACGGATACTGTTTCCTGATCCGAACAGCTTCTGGTATGTGTAGTTCCCTAAGTCAGCAAATACGGACCACTCTTTGCTCATTTTTCGTGGTCCTGCAAACACGTCGGAGATTTTCCTTCTTTTTGTTTTTCCTTGTGTTGCTCGTAGATAACTGAAAATTGAGCAGAGAGCTTGCAGCCTGGTGCAGCACACGGGGAGGTCCTGTCTGTGTGCTCCGGGCGTCCCTTTAACGGAAGAGGAAGCAGTGTGGGTCTGAGCAAGAGTATCAGATCTTTGCCATGTGCGCCCTCTCTGGAGTTTGTCCCCACGCTGTGCTTTGTGGCCTTTAGGAGTCACCTTGTTGCCAGGGCGGGGAAAGGAAAATTACCAGATTGGGAGGAAAAGAAAGAATTAATAAGGGAAATCGTATTCCGCCGTAGCTGTGTTGGCTGAGCGAACGTTTACTGAAATGTCTGCGGAGCGCGGGTCTCTTTTCCCCGGGACTGTGGCAGCGCGGGTGGCAACTCGGCCCCTTTAGAACCTCACTCCAGTGCTGAGTGAGCAGAGCAACCTTTCCGTGCTGGAGGAGCTGCGCTTTCTTTTTCTTTTTTTTCTTTCTTTCTTTTTTTTTTTTTGCTGTTGTTGATATTTAATAAACTTAAAAAAAATAATTTTAGATTTGGGAAAATTTCCAAGGTGGCCCAGAAGTGCAGAAACCCTCACCCCAGGCTCCCCTCTGCTTACCCAGTGCAGGAGTGCTGTGGGGCTCTCCGCAGGGCCCGCGTTTTCTTCCTGCTGACCGCCTTTCCCGCCCAGGGCCTGTCTGGACCCACCTTTGCTCCTCCCTCTCCTCCGTCTGCTCCTGTTTCTTCGTCTCAGCCGCGTTTCTTCTCCTGCGTTCATGTATTCATTCAGCCATTTGCTTGTATCATTTGTTTCATACTTACAGGCTTTAATTCAATATTCCATTATTATTTTATTGTCTTGTCTTTGGCCTCTGGGGCTCAATTTCCCTTGAACATCACAGCCTTTTATGTTTTCAGTACTCGGTCGGCCCCTTTTATTTGTTTTTAAACAAAGTCTTGCACTGTTGCCCTGCTGGCCTTGAACTCCGGGCTCGAGCAGTCCTCGTGCTCCGCATGCTGAACAGGGCAGGCCCTTGATGCTGTGCTGGGTTTTCTGGACTTTCCCCCATGCTGTGGATGAACCTAGGCCTCACACTGCAGGCAAAGCTGTGCCTCTGGGTTCATTTCTCACCCTGAGAGATGTCCGGCCTCATTTTGTGTATTCTTTGCCTGGCGGGAGCCTCGGCCCCTCTCCCAAGTGCCTCAGTTTCCCTTATTGGAGAATAGTAGATTCTGGAGAATTTAGGAACCAGAGTCTTAGTCTGGGTGTGCTCATTGCAGATAGAGTATCAGCCGGTCTCTGTTTTATTTTAGTAATGGAATGTTAAAGCCTAAACTTAAAAATGATGCCAAAGAGAAGGATAGAAGTAAAACATACCCTGATTTAGGGAGTTATGAATGGGACAGTTGTGTGGCTGTATTAGGCCCAGCTTTTACAAACACACGAATTCCAGGAAGAGTGCGTATGAGTTGTTGCATCTATTTCAATAATGCATGCTTTTAAAGTTATTTTTAAAGACATATTTCAGGGCCTGGGGATGTAGCTCAGTGGCACTGCACCTGCCTGGCAAGTGCAAAGTCTTGAGTTCAATCCCCGGTACCAGAAAAAAAAAATACATATTTCAGTATATAACATCCAAGATAAGCTAATATCTGTTACTGAGCTTTTCTGTTGTGAGCTTTCTGTGGTGCGGGCACCCAGAGACAAATGTCTGTTTCTTTTAATGGCGTGGGATCAGTGGGCCTGCCTGTCCAAGGTTATAGCAGGAGATTGGGAATTCTCTCGGTAGGAGTCTGCTCCCGAAAGTAACATTCATCTCAGTCCAATCCACTTAGTAATGAGTATTGTTTAAAAAGCAAGATTTTTCCAAATTGAGATATTTTCTGCTCTGAGGGTTTCAAGCCACAAGAATAAAATGATTTCAGCGACCCAGAGGTTTAGTTGGTATTTATGTTCTCTTTGGTCCTCAGATAAGAGTAAGTTTTAAAAGTTGAACTGAACTTTAAGCTGGGAGTTAAAGATTTGCCTTGAAGAGAGGGAGTTTACAGGATATTCGAAAGAATGCCCAGTGCATGGCTTTAATTCCACTTTTTGTTTCGTCTTTGCAGAGGATGGAGCTGGTCACTACATTTCCCCCTTCCATGATATCCCTCTCAGGGTTGGCGCTGAAAAGGTAACTTGTTTTGAACGTAAAAACTAGTATTTCTGATATTGCTATAAAATGCTTTTTTGGAAGCACCGTGAAAGGAAAGATGCAGTTGGGAGTCAGGAAGAAGTGGAGTTTCAGCATGAATTAACGTCAGGATGAGGATAGACTTCTTCCGGGAGGACTTGGAGGTTAGGGTTAGGTAGGGAATGAAGAAGGAATGGTAACCATTTAGGGTATGAACCAGGGGCTTACTGTTAATGACGTCGTAGCTGACAGCGGTGCATCATCCCTGCTTGCCAGGCGCTGTTGGAGCATGTGTTGGGTAACCCTGTGAGTGACAGTCGTTGTTCCCAGGTGCAGAGGGTGCACACATCTGATCCACTTGTCTGCTGTCACCCAGCTGGGGGCTTCCAGGCCAGGCTTTGAACTGGCCCTTCCGCCCCAGGGCCTCCAGCGCTCTCACTCCCTGCCTGCTATGTGGAGCCGCTGCTGGCGCAGCCAAGCTGGCAAAGGGGCCCTGTCTGTGTAGCCGTCTCTGAGAATCTGTGCGTGCAGTCGGACCCTTCGCACTGGGACCGCGAGTCACCCCCTAGTGAGGCCGAACCGGGTGTCAGCAAGTGGAGCAGGACGGCCACTGTCGCTGGCAGACCCGAAAGGACCCAGAGGCATCGGGCGCTTTGCAGTCCTCCCGCTCAGCTGGCGTATTTGGCAGCAGACGTTCACGGTCACTGTGAGGCTGTGACTCAGGTCCTTCCCCTCTGAGGCAGTGACTGAGTTGTCAGGAGCACTGCTGCCCAGGCTGAGAGCAGAGGGCCAGCCAAGTGGGAGCGATCAGAGGATGTGCTCAGGGCCAGTGAGGCTTAGCTGGGTACTGTGCTTGGTACTCAGTCCTCCTGTAAGCTCTCTGCTTGCCGCAGTCACAGTCTCCACGGTCTGCTGGGGTTGCATGTAGGGCGTGTCCTTCAGGGCTTGCAGTCTTCGCTTCTCTTGTTCATTAAGTGTCCACAGCAGGACACGGGTCAACGAATCTGGAGCCACAGACAGCAGTAGCTCGGGGTTACCGTGAGTCTCAGTTTTGTTTTGCTTCGGCCCGTGAAGCAGTGGACGCCAGCACTTCCCGTCTCCAGCATGTGTGTGCATTTGCTTCCTACTGTCACTCACTCAGCTAGTGATCCTTGCAAGCTTGTGATGAGCTAGACATGATTTCAGACCCTGGGTATGAAGTGGCGATTCGGGCAGATCCAGTTCATGAGCAGCTGGAAGAGACAGACAACCGTACGGCAGTCAGAGCAGAAGGCCTGTGTGGAGAGGGCCTGGTGGGATCTGTCACGGTGAGGCATATGTGCCTGTGACAGCCACAGTGGTCATACTGTGTCGTTAGAGTCATGTAGTAGAGAGATGGAACCAAGAAAGAGACCGAGCCACATCAGGGTAGCCAGGCAGGGTGGGGCATGCGTGTAGTTCCAGTAACCTGGGAAGCTGAGGCAGGAGGGTTGCAAGCTCAACCACAGCCTGGGCAGCCTAGTGACTTACAGAGACCCTGCCTCACAGTGGGGGAGGCGCTGGGGTGTTGTTTAGTGTGGATCCCAGACATCAATCCCTAGTATCTCAAGAGAAAAAGGAAGGACAAAAAAGAAGAAACATCAGTGGGCATAACACTTTGTCTACAGTGGGAGGATCTGGGTCACAACTGACCTGGGTCAGGACTTGTGGAGACAGGATGTGGCAGTGAATTCTTGGGACATAGATTGGCCCACGTGGTGGCTACATTAGCAGGATCCTCTCACTTGTAGCCAATGATGGTTGGAACTTGTGGTTTGGGATGCAGAGTTGTGGGAAAAGAAATAGTTTCAGGGCTGACTGGAGCCAGTTGCTTTTCTGTTTATTTTGTGTCTTTGTTAGTAGTTGCTTTGGAGTCTGAGGTATGTGCATGTTACACACCCGGGCAAGCTTCCCTGAATGGCGGCATCTTCTCACAGCCCACCACGTGGTAGTTTGGCTGAATTCACAGAAGCTTCAAGGCAAAGAGGCAGCGTCATCCTCACCCCTGGAGGAATTCGAGGCGGGAGGGGCGATACGGATACGTCGCAGCTCTTTAGCCCCGCTCCCTGCGGTCCTGTTGCAGTAATGAAATGACTTCTTCAGCATAGTAATGGAAAACTGCCAGTCCTCCCTTGAAGACCAGACAGAGCCTTTGCTCGTTTTCTGAAAGCTTGGGAAGGGTACAGCACTTAAAGGAGAGTTAGCTTTTCTGATTGCGTGGTTTATGGAACAGCCCAGTGCTGTGTTCCCTGGGAAGGCCAGGCATTTGGCGGCTCTCGGTGGAGTAAGCGTTTCAGGCGGCCTCTGTCACCCAAGGGGATCAGTTATTCATTAGCCTTCTACTGTGAAAGTACAGGGATCACAGCTCCTGTCTTCTCTTACAGGAAAATGGCATTCCTACCAAGAAAGCACGGAGCGATGACGATGAGGTATATCTGGACTTTATTTGGGGAGTCACTGCCTGTTAAAGCCCTCCATGAGCATGTACATTTATAGTGCCTCTAAATATTTACCCCTGCAAGACTATGTGAAATTTTTCCTCTAGGATCACTTTAAGGTATTTAAAGCTGATATTACCATTAATCCTTTTTATTATAAAATGCTCATATTATAGAACTTCCCATTTTAACATGTTGTAAGTGTACAGTTCAGTGGCATTCAGGACTTAAACACTGTTTTGGCGTGATCACCTACGTCTACCTCCAGAACTTTTTATCACCTGGAACTGAGCCCACACCTATCCCATAGTAACTCCCCTAGCCTCCACCTCCAAGTAACCTCTTCCCTCCGTCTCTGAATTTGACTGATCTAGGTACTTGTAGCCATTTCAGTTTTTAAGTGAACAACTTGAGAGAATCAAAATGAACCCAGATTTTAGTAGCAAATTATTTATTATGGTCAATGGTCTAAAGTAAGTATACTTTATGAAAATTAGTCAGTTTGCCTATTTTTAGAAATTCTAAAAAAAAATTCTAACAGTGAAGATAGTTTGAGGAATTCAAGGTGGGAGGGGGCTGACATTTTCATGGCTTGTTAGCCCCACTCCCTGGAGTTGAATTTCAATAATGAAATGACTGTCTTACGTAGTTTTTCAGAAGTACAGAAGATAAACATGCACATATACTGTGTTAAAGTGTATTCCAGATAAAGCACCGAATTTCGTGACTGTTAGACCTGTTATAGTTGCTCACTTAGTACCACACCTGTGATTGACATTCTGTCCCTTACTCTGGGCTCCTTGGGTCTGCCCAGTTTTCCCTCCACCCTGTACCTTTCCACCCTTATTTCCATCTCTTCTCTGCCCTGAGTTTTTGGCTGCAGCTTTTGAATCCACTTCCACACACGGCAGTGGAGTCTGTGTGATTCCCATAGTGTTGGCCTGCGGTCTTTCTGCTTTTCTGAGTCTGTCTGTCAGATAGTCTTCGAAACATCTAGCCTGGAAACACCTAGAGCGCTTGTTAGAAATTTGGATTCCTGGCTGCATCCTGTGCCTGCTGACTCTGAGTCTGCTTAGTGGGGTGGGGCCAGGTTAATCAGCGTGGCACATGGAAGTGGGAAGCCACTGGCTGAGATGTCCAGTGTCTCGGACAGGGACTCCACACTTTATGGTTCCTAGGGACTCAGTGTATTACTCTTAGTGCATTAATCTGAACCTGTTGATTCAGTGGAACAAGTCTATTCTGAACCCAGACCATCAAAATAAATTTAATTCTTAAACACTGTATGGTGGAGATGATCTGATTTGTGTTTAGTTGAAAGTTTAAAAAGTTGGAGAGACAGGAGGGTGATTGCTTCCTGTCTTTTCCCAAGTACATAAAACTTGGTGGTTGCTTTTTCATATATCTTATTTTTCTTATTTCTGTGATAAAAATACAAGGAGGAAAAAAGGAGAGACGAGAAGGAACTCATTGTTCCTGGCACATACACAACTTTCTGATTTTATTTCTGTCCCCTTTTGTCTTTTTGATAAAAAAAAAAAAAAAAAGAAAGAAAAGAAAGAGCCCCGGAAGGCCACTGTTGGTTTAAAATAACATTAAAGAACTTACAGGGCACGTGTCTTTTGGCTGAGAAAGGAAAGGCTGGCTGGAAATGAGCTATTTATGATGGGGAGGAGGAGGGAGAGGGCAGCTTATGGACCAAACCCCAAGCCTGTTCCTCACCTGTTGTTCTGTAGCCTAATTCAGGTTTCCGGGAGAGGTTTTGGTGGTGTCACTGCCCAGGGACACAGCTGACATTAGCACAGTCCTGTCATCTCCACATGCGAGGCCACCTGCACTTGGTCTCTCGTGCCCAGGCTTTCGGGGCTGAATGAATCTGGTGAACATCTGTGATTACTTCAGATCTTCCTTAGAGCAGCGTCTTCAGACGTATTTGAGCAGGTGCAGCTTGTCATGCAAGAGTGCAGGAAATGCCCTGTCCTGGTCACCAGAGCCCCATGTGAGCTGCCGGGCCAGGCAGTGTGCATCGTCCGAGGAGCAGTGGCTGGGATTTGTTCTCGCAGAGGGGTTTGCACTCGGGCCATAGGGAGCATTTAGTTTTACTGGGAGAAATGTAATAACCATCATGACTTCTGAGCTCACCATATATTTATGTTTAATAGTGTTGGGCTGGGGATTTAGCTCAGTAGTGCCAGGCCTGCCTCGCAAGTGAAGGGTCCTGGATTCAATTCTCGATACCGGGGAAAAAAAAGTGTAGATGGCATTCTTTGAATCAACCCACTTGTATTTCACAAAGAATCCCTAAGATAGTGTTTAGCAGTGCTCCAAGCCAAGTCTGGCTGCAAATGAAAAGTGCTGGAAAGCTTTTAAAAATTTTCATTGCCAGGCTGGGGATGTAGCTCAGCAGTGACAGAACTTATCTGGCAAGCGCGAGGCCCTGAGTTTGATTCCTGGAACAACAACAACAAAAAGTAATGCCCTGATGAGTTGAATTCAGTTGCGGAGTGCCAGGCCTCTGGGAATCTTTTTTTGTTTGCTTTTTTTCTAATTGAGTAGAGGTTTCTAGGAGATTTTGATGGGTGACATGATTGAAATAAGTAGAAAAATCACCTTTCAAATAACCTGTGGAGGAGGATTCACTTGGTTTATTTGTTATTTGCCTTTTTTTATTGGTACACATTTGCAGTACATGGCGTATACATTCCTTGTATGGGATTGGTACATATACATAGCATATGTTAATTCATTTTTCATCACCACTGCTTGGTCCCTTCCCCTTTGAGAAAGATCTGTCTCCCTACTTCCTGTTATCCATTTGCTCTTTATAAGTTGGGTTTCTCACTTAAGAGAAACCAGTTATGGTTAAACCTGTGTGTCTGACTCGTCTCATTTAACGTTATGGTCTCAGATTTATTTGTCCGTCATGCGCTGATACCATTTTACAAAATCCAGTCAAATGAATAGTTAGTAAAATTAATTCAGGTTCCACTTTTTTGACTGCGATGCAGTGCCCAGATGTGCTCCTCTCACGAGGGGTCCATGGCGGGTGCTGTGCAGCCAGCGCCCCACCCAGCCTCACTCTGGTAGCAGCCTCCAATCCCTGCCTCTCTGTGAGCAGTGTGGCTCGTTACTGGTGCCCCTGTTGGGCAACTCGCCTGCAGCCTGAGCTTTCTCTTTGTAAGAATCTGCAGGAAATTGTTTTATTTCCCCATTGACCTGCAATCTCCTTTGGGGAGAGCTGGAGCCAGGGCCCCTTTGCACCTCGCAGGAATCTGGCGTCGGTGGCTTTGCCAGCTTGGATGGAAAGGTTCTTGCTGCTGTGCGCTGTGCGTGACCCTCGAGACTTCCTCTAGTGAGAGCCTTCACCTCACAGTCTCTGCACCTTGGATGCCAGCTTTTAATATAATTTTCAGAATATATCACTCCCTAACGTTCTGGGCATTTTCCTTTAGGTCCTTTGGAGGATCTTAGCAACCTTGTGGGGGGAGTAGGATGGAGTCCATCCTTCTCTCCGTGGAGAAAAGAGACCAGAAGGATGTAGCAGAGGGGCCTCTGTCAGCTGGGAAAGGAACAGCAGCGCAGGGCCCGGCTACCTGCTGGGGCAGCTTGACAAGGTGGCCCTGATGCAGGGCCGTTGAGGTCAGGAGACAGGCTGGCATCAGTTCTCCTGGCTTTCAGGACACTTCTTTCATTTTTAGAAGAAATTTAAGGCAGCGGTAGAGGCATGATGTAGACATCCACCATGTTTTAGTGGGAAAAGACCCTAAAGTGTCGTTCAAAAGACTGCACTAATGTTTACTCAGCATAAGCTTCTCCAACCCCAAATGAATAAGCGGGGTTAAAAAGTAAACAAACTTGTTTATGTCCTCTTTCTTTTTGACTGCAGAATTTGCTTCATATGGTCGTAGAAGTGCCTCGGTGGACGAACGCTAAAATGGAGGTACGGATGTTTTCTAGTGATGTGAAATTAAAATGCTAACTAAAAATGGTGATACGATAGCATTGTTTCTAGTTATTTGGCATCATATTTTGAATTGAATTGGGTTGACAGACTTCTTTATAATAAAAACAACTGAAAAATATTCTTGGGAACTTTAATTTCAAAAAGAAAATTACCCAGAGCTTTGTATACACTTTTAAGAAAGTGCTTTTCAATTTTACCTGTCTAGTTTGTTATACACATATTTATTGAATTTTCATTGTCTGACTTTTCTTTGACAAGATGGCAGATACTTTCAAGGTTTACTGCAAAAAAGATTCTGAGGTATATTCGGTTCATAGACACAAGTGTTTATTTGAGGCTGATGGTAATTTTAATTTCTGAGGACTTAATTCCAGAGATTTTCTTCTGCCTGAAGTAAAAGCATGTTCCTAACTTAATTTCTGAACACTAAGAACATCTGCTGTCCCCCTGGTTAGCTTTTTAAAAGAAACTGTTTTAATGTTAAACTTTTCCATGAAATGTAAACCTTTCCAGAACAGCTTTTTTGCCTTTTCAGGTTTGATTGTCCTTTCTTCATGTAGATAAGTTCCCCCATGGTTCTTAGCAGAAGTTAATGTGCACCCTTTCATCTGTGTGGGTAGCTGAGCCTTCTACAACATGGGCTGTGGTGGCCTGTGTTATTTTAGTGTATACGTGAGGCATTTTACATAGGAACATAACCCTCACAGTTTATATTTGGGAAGCTAGTGGAAATCTTACCAGACATCTTACCAGATGTTTTTTCTTAACATTTTAAAGGAAGTTAAAGGGATTGGATGCTTCTCTTGATCATAAGTTGTAATGTTTCATCCCCTAACCTCTGCCCACCTCAGTTAAGCATAGAACCAGGGGCCTGATTTTTTTGAGTAGAAGTATGGCCATTTTCCCTATGTTGATTCCTCTTACTCAGGAGCAAGGGATGTTTTTCCATTTTCTTATATCCTCTTTGATCTTTTATCAGAGTGCTGTAGTATTTGTGTAGAGGTCTTTTGTCTCCATTAGATCCTAGATATTTCATTTTTTGGGGTGTTATTGTGAAAGGAATTGTTTCCCTAATTTCTTTCTCAGTGAGTGTTACTTGTGTATAAAAAGCCTCTTGATTTTTGAGTGTTGACCTCATATCCAGCTACTCTACTGAATCTGTCAATTAAGTCTAGAAGTCTTTGGGTAGAGTTTTTTGTGTCTTCTATGTAGAGTATTATATCATCAGCAAATAGTGACAGTTTAACTCCTTCCTTTCCTGTCTTTGTTGCTTTTATCTCTTTCTCTTGTCTGATTGCTGTGGCTAATGTTTCTAGAACTATTGAACAGGAGTGGTGATAGTGGACATCCTTGTCTTGTTCCTGATTTTAGCGTGAAGGTTTTCAGTGACCATTTAGTATGATACTGGCTGTTGGTTTTTCATAGATAGCCTTTATCAGGTTGAGATAAAGATCATCATTCCAATTTTCTGTAGGGTTTTTATCATAAATGGATGTTGAATTTTGTTGAATGCTTTTTATGCATCTATTGAGATGATTATATAGTTTTTGTCCTTGATTTAATATAGTGTATTACATTTATGGATTTACGTATATTGAACCATCCTTGCATCCATGGATAAATCCGACTTTGTCAGGGTGTATGATCTTCTTGATGATCTTTTGTATTGTATCTTGTCGAGGATTTTTTGCATCTATATTTATTAGGGAGATTGGCCTATAGTTCTCATTTTTGGTTGGGTCTTTCCCTGGTTTTGGAATCAAAGTAATACTTGCTTCCAGGAATGAATTTGGAAGTATTGCTTCCCTTTCAATTTTTTTTCTTTTTATTGAGTTTATTGGTACAATCTAGGTATACAATACAATTACATTCATCACTGGGATTCTGTACCTTTACATAATAGGTCTTGATTCTCATTTTTTCCCCTTGTCCCTGCCCTCCCCATTTACAAACACTTTATTTCACCCCTTCCCCATTTACAAACACTTTATTTCCATTTTTTCAGTTTCTCATATTTTTCTCCTCTCCCTTTCAATTTTATTGACGAGTTTAAAGAGTAGTGGCAATAGTTCTTCTGTAAATGTCTTGTGGAATTCAGCAGTCCATTAGACCTGGGCTTTTCTTTGTTGGTAATGTTTTAATTACATTTTCAATTTCACTGAATGTAATTGGGGTGTTTAGACTTTTTATAACTTCTTTGGAAGTTCATGTGTATCTAGGAATCTGTCCTCTTCTGTATTTTCCATTTTATTAGAGTACAGGTTTTCAAAGTAAGTATTGATGATCCTCTGGATTTCTGGTGGATCTGTTGTGACTTCACCTTTTTCATTCCTAATTGCATGGATTTGAGCCTTTTCTTTCCTTTTTTTTTTTTGATAAGGTTGGCTAAGGGTTTATCGATTTTATTTATTCTTTCAAAAAATAAACTCTTCGATTCATTGATTTTCTGTATCATTCTCTTAGTCTCCACTGTATTGATTTCTACTCTTTCATCCTTTGTATGAGCTTTGCATTTGTCTTGATTTTCTTTTTCTAAAAGCTTAAGATTCAGCATTAGGTTGTTTATTTGAGCTTGCTCTATTTTCCTGGTGTGGGCCTTCACTGCTATAAATTTCCCTCACAGAACTGCTGTCATTGTGTCCCATGGATTCCTGTATGTTGTATTAGCATTATCCTTTATTTGTAAAAACTGTCTAATTTCTTCTGTGACCTATTGGTTGTTCAGGAGAGTGTTATTCAATTTCCATGTGTTTGTGAAGTTCTTGTAGTTTCTTTTGTTATTGAACTCCAGTTTAATTGCACAATGGTCTGATAATATACAGGGGATAGCTTCAGGTCCTTTGTATTTACTTAAACATGTTCTATGAGCAAGTATGTGGTCTATTTTGGAGAATGATCTGTATGCTGCTGAAAAGAATGTATATTCTGATTTTGTGGGGTGGCACACTCTGAGATGTGTATCTACAAGTCCATTTGTTTAAAACCTTGGTTCAGTTTTAGTATTTTGTTGTTGACTTTTGGTCTAGATGTATTTGTGCCAGTGGAGTATTAAGGTTCCCCACTACAATTGTATTAGTGCTTATTTCGGTTTTCATATCCATTAATATTTGTTTAGTATAGTTGTGGGCGTTAGTATTTGGTGCATATATATTTATGATTGTCATATCTTCCTCTTGCATTGTTCCCTCTACAAGAATGTAGTGGCCTTCTTTGTCTCTCTTAATTAGTTTTGGTTTGAAATCTACTCCATATGCAAATAAGATAGCTACTCCCACTTTTTTCTGGGCTCCTGTCATGGAGAACTGTTTTCCATTGTTTTACTTTCACTCTATGAATTTCTTTGTGGATTAAGTGGGTTTCTTGTATACAGCATGTTGTTGGATTTTGCTTCTTAATCCATTCTACCAGCCTATTTTGATTGGTGAATTGAGGCCATTAACCTTGATGGTTATAACTCTTATATATTGACTTTTCATTGTCATGTTATTTTCCTGTTGTTGGTTATTTTATTTTATTTTATTTTTCCTCTCTCCCTTTAATTTCTTGCCTTGCCTGATATATTTGCTGTCTTGGCCCTTATGGAGTTGTAGCCTTCATTTTCTTTTTCCAGGATATTGTTTAGAAGTGTTTGGATGGCCGGTTTGGTGTTAATGAAATTTCTCAGGTGTTCTTTTTGTTGTGGAAGCATCTTATTTCCCCATTAATAGTTTTCCAGGATACATCAGTCTAGGTTGGAGGTTGTTTTCTTTTAGAACTTAAAATACCTGACTCCAGCCTCTTCTTGACCTGAGGTTTGTGTTGAAAAGTCTGCTGTGATTCTGATGGGCTTTCCTTTGTATGTGATTTGTTTCTTTTCTGTAACTGCTTGTAGTTCTTTGTTTTTCTGTTGGGTTTCTGGGACCTTGATTATTATATGTCTAAGTGTGTGTGTGTGTGTGTGTGTGTGTGTGTGTGTGTATGTGTGTTCGTGTTTATGCCTACTTGGAGTCCTATATGCCTCACTTATCTGTTTGTCAAATTCTTCCCCTTTGGGAAGTTTTCTGTCATTAATTCTGTGAACAGTTTTTTTTTTATGTCATTTGTACTTTCTCCTCCTACTTCATAGATTCTTATCAGTCTTACATTATTCTTCTTTGCATCACCTAAGAGTTGTTGGATCAATTTCTCATGATTCTTTACTGTTTTTAAGAGATCTTTCTTTTCATGGTCACTGGCCTTAATCATGTCTTCTATATCTGAAATTCTGTCTTCACATTTGTTCATCCTCCTGTGAATGCTTTGTATAGAGTTTTTAATCTCCTGGGTACCTATTTTAATCTGTTTCATGGATTCAATTTCTTTCCTATGCTGGGCATTCAAGGTTTCCATTAATTTCCTATGCTGGACATTAATGGTTTCCATCATGGTCCTGAGCTCATCTACTTTTTTTATCTGTTTCTGTTCTAGAGTCAGTAATCACGCCTTTCATTCTTCTCACCATCTCTGTGGTTATCTGGGAAATTATTTCTGTTTTGAATTTTTCTAGAGCCTCATTTATCTTTTCTTTTACTTCCTGTGTTATTGGTTCAGATGGTTGACTGTCAGACTTTTCCACCTTATTTCCCCCACAGTTTACCTTTGGTGAGGTAGAAGTCTGTGTTTGTGCCTTGTTTCAGTGTCTTCTCATTTCTGTTTTTGCTGTTGGTACTGTCTTTGGTTTAATTCATGGGTTAATACTTTAATCTTCCAGATATAGCTGGTCTTTAGGTTTTGAGTCTCTAGTGACTCTGAGGCAATCTCATTTTCATTATACCAGGGAGAACAACTGATTAGATCAATCACAACACCTTAGTCCAACAACACAATACCATCAAGCACAGCTTAGAAAATAATTTGTGGTAGTTATTAATCTGTCACCTTTAACTATGTGAATTAAATCAAAATTGGGGGCCAGACCAAAATATGTTTATATTGAATAAACTCTTCAGTATAGTAACTTTACCCTTCAGGATGGGGATTTAGAAGGAGTTGGGGAGGGAGGGATAGATAGGATAGAGAGAAGTTAGAAGTGAGGCCAGAGGACACGGAAGATCAGACATACCCTAGGGAGCTGTTGAAGAGAAAAGGAGAAGACGGAACAAAATATACAGAAGAACAGACAAACAAACAGCAATAGGGTGGCTAGAGACTGTATATAATCACGTTCTTTTAAAACTAATGTCAATTGAGAGAAGGAAAAAGAGAAAAAGAAAATAAATTTGAATTAGGACAGGAACAAAGGGGGAGAAACGAAGGTCAAGGTGGGAGAGAGAGAGAAAAGAGAAGAAAAAACAAAAAAGGAAAAAAATTTGAGAAGCGAAAAAGATTCATAAAATGTTTTTAAATGATTAAACATAAGAGAAAAATCTTGCCGGGGGTGTGGTGGCACACACCTGTAATCCCAGCACTCGGGAGGCTGAGGCAGGAGGATTGCTGTGAGTTTGAGACCAACCTGGGCTACACAGTGAGTTCCAGGGCAGTCTGAACTACATAGTGAGACCCTGTCTCAAAAAACCAAAAAAAAAAAAAAAAAGAGAGAGAGAGAAATCTTAATTTGAAAATAAAAATACAAATAGAAATGGAGGGCCTCCTTCAGGGTGTGCCTCCGTTGACACAATTGACAGTGTGGGCAGGAGTGTGCAAATCTAAGTGAATTAGTCTCAGCAAGCCAGGAGCTGTCCCCTGAGGTCCAGGCTGATCTCTGTCTGCAAGGCCCAAGTTGAGATCTCTGGCCTCCTGCTGGGGTGAACTCTGTGAGGTTCTACTGCAGGTTCCAGCTCTCTTTTCCCTGAAGTGAGACGAGATTCCAATGCAAGGTGCCTGCCCCTCTGAGTTACCAACTATGGCGGTGTGGTGTGCCTTTATTGTAGAGATTTTCTTCTAGGAGCCTCAGAGAGGCCCCCTTTCTCTTGTTCCTGGGGGGCACAGACACTGCTGTGTTGGTGCCCCAGCTGGGCTCCTCCGCTGTGCTGGGCCGAAGGGGTGGGCCGACCAGAGGTTCTCACACTGCTTCCAGGCTCCTCTGTTTCTCCACACCGAAGAGGCGGGCCCCTCCCCTCTTGGAATGTTTGACAGAAAAGTAACTTTGAAATGCAATCACTTGGTAAGAATCTGGGTTTTTTTTAATGATCTAGAAAACTTTTTATTGCAAAAAAATAATTTATATATTCAAGGAGTCAAAAATGATACTGTGATTTATGAATACAGCATGGGAGAAGTAAGTCAGGCTAATTAACGTGCATATCATCTCAAATTCTTGTTTTTTGTGTGAGGACATTTGAGATTCACTCTCTCAGCAGTTTTGAAATGTGCAATATGTCATTCTCAAAAACAAAAGCAAAGGAAAAACAACCATGCCCTCCTGTCACAGATTTTGTGTGTTTTGACCACAGCCACCTCTGCACCTATGACCACTGCTGTACTCTGCTTCTTTTTAAAACATTTAAATGTATTTTAACTGATACATAAAACTCTAACATTGCACATAGTCGCAGATGTCTGTGATATTTTGACACATCGTATACATTCTGTAATGTTGAAATCAAGTGTCTGTTTCCTCAGTTATCAGTAATGCCTTTATGGAAAAAGCTTTCCAGGACCTGTCTTCTGGCTGCTCCAGTCTATGCTGTCTGCGGTCACCGTGCCATGCGGTAGCGCAGCAGACTCCTGTCTGCCCCTTTCCCCGCTGTCCTTGTACCCTGCCTGGCCGCTGTCACCTGCATTCCCCTTGGAGTTCCCCGAGACTCCACCCTGAGTGAGCCTTGCGCTGTCCTGTACCTGGTTTATCTTATCCAGCGTAGGGCTCTCTGGCCTGTCCATGCTGTCGCAGGCAGTGGCCCACAGGGTCCCTGCACCACAGCTTTATCCATGATAGCAGCGGGGCCTAGGTTGCTGCCGTCTCCGGGCTCTCGCGACTAGAGCCGCTGAGGTGTGCCGGGTGTCCCTGCACTGTCATCCTGTTCCTGTCTCGTGCTCTGTCCTGCAGTGCAGCCGCTGATCAGTGGCCATTCTAGGCTGGGGTGTTGGAGGAAGCTGCATTCCCTTCCATAATGGCTGCGTGAAGACGCTGCGTCCCCCTGTGGAAGGCCTGCCTTTGCTCCGTCTTGCCAGTGCCTGGCATCTGTCTTGATAGTCAGCGTTCTTACGGGTGAGGGGATGCCTCCCTGGGTTCTGATCTGCATTTCATTGATGCTAGTCAGGTTGGTCACCTTTTCACGTACCTCTTAGCAGTTCATGTTGTGCTTTCTTTTAAGAAATGTCTACACAGTTCTCTTGTCCTTTCGGTACCGGGGATTGAACTCAGGACCTTGTGCTTGTGGAGGGGGCACCACTGAGCTAAATCCCCGGCCCTCTAGTCCACTTTTGAATCAGGGTGCTTTTCTACTGTTGACTTTTTGGAGTCCTTATATATTCTGGTACTGACCCCGTAAGATATATGGGTTGTAGTGTTCCTTCCTGTTCTGTATGCTGGCTCTGCGCTCTGTTGATTGTTTCCTTTGCTGTGCAGAGCCTTTTAATTTTGATGTAATCCCATTTATCTGTTCTTGCTGTTGTTGCCTGTGCTTTTAGGGTCCAAAAACTCATTACCTAGACTGATGTGCGGTTTTCTCCTTGTCTTTTGTTTTTATAAGTAATAGTTTAATAGCTTCTGGTTTTACGTTTTTAAGTTTGTGATCCATTTTGTGTTGGTTTTTGTGTACCTGTGAGGTGCCAGAGTGCATCTTCATTCTTGTGCGTGTGAATGCCTTGCTTTCCCAATGCCACTGGTCGAAGACTGCTTTTTCCCGCTGTGTATTATCGGCCCCTTAGTGGAAAGTCAGTTGAGCGCACACAGCTGGCTTGTTTCTGGCCTTGTCACTCAGTGTGCCCGAATTTCTTGCTGGTCCCATGCTGGGGTTTTGTTTTTGTTTTTGGCTTTTTTTGTTTGTTGTTTTTCCGGCACTGGGGATCGAACTCAGGACCTTTCATTTTCGAGGCAGGTGCAGTGAGTCCCATGCTGTTTTGTAGTTGGTTTGAAATCACATTTGTTGCCTTGATTGTTCAGGGTTTATTTGTGGCTCCATCTGACCTTTAGGGTTGATGTTTGTACTGCCATGTTTAATGTGGGACTTTGGAGTTTTGATAAGGATTGTGTGGAACTCGGTTCACAGAACTTTGAGTAATGTGCCCACATGAGCGTGAGTGGGGCGTATCTTCCCACTCATTCCTGTCTCTGATTTCTTTCATTGATGTTTTATAGCTTTCAGTGTACAGCTCTTTCTCTTCCTTGATTAAATTTATTTAGAGTATTTTAAAGTTGTTATTGTTGTTACTGTAAATGGAATTGTTCTCTTGATTTCTTGTTTAGTTTGTTGTTAGGGTATGGAAATGCTGTTGAATTTGTGTCCTGCAACTTTACTGTGATTATTTATTCTGTGTGTGTATGTGTTATCAGCTAACATTAATGATTTTGTTTTATCCTTTCCTATTTGCATTCCTCTTACTTCTTTCTCCTGCCTAATTGCTGTGGCCCAGGCTCCCAAGACCTTGCTGGATAAGGGCAGCAGGAGGGCACCTCCTTGATTAGCTTCAGATCTGACAGGAAAGATTTCAGTCTTTCACCGAGAGTTTGGTGAAAATCTTCACGTTAACGTTGTTGTCAAAGATTCTGGCTAATAAAACACCCAAGATGAATAACCAAAAGCCAGTTGATTAATCTTAATCCTATTGCTACTTCAGTCATTTTATTATTTGTGTTAGAAATAATGAAGTGCCCAAATATATAACCGAATGTTTCCTTACCAGGTAATTTCTTACACAGTGCTATGAATTAGTAATAAGAGCTGGTTTAATTTATTTTAAAGCACCTTTGGTCATTAAGTTGGACTGTGAATATTTTGGCTGAAAATGGCAAATTTAAAATACCTCTTGGATGTAGAATTAATCATTGCCCATGTTCCTCTCGCTTTCCCCTTTTCCCCCATGACCTGCTCAGATTGCCACAGAGGAGCCCCTGAACCCCATTAAGCAGGACATGAAGCGTGACAAGCCACGCTACGTGGCCAACGTCTTTCCCCACAAGGGTTACATCTGGAATTACGGCGCCCTCCCCCAGGTAACATTGGGCTTCTAATGGTCAGACTTTCCTGTCTCCTGAAGAAAATTGACTTGTAAATCCTGTGAACTGCTTGAATTTAAATTGGTTCCAAGGACATGTCGGATGGAGAGATTTGTCAATTTTAAAAATTTTAACGTGTGGTTTTATTGTATCAGTAAATTGTGTTTCACGCCGTATTTATGTCTGCACTCAGTTTCCTCGCGTCGGGTCGCGGGCATCATGTCTGGCACTTTGAGCACATTCCCTTTTCTTGGTTTGGCTGTTGTGTCAGTGAAAACTCTGCAGCAAGGCTCTCTGTGTAGCTGCCCTTTCGTTTTACCTTCACGCACTCTGGTAGATGCTAACTTTTTAAAGCTCTAACTGATGGATCTTTCTAGTAATTAATTTTTTTTAACTCCTCGTGAACTGAGTTAGATAACTATAGCTTTATTATTCACCGTCATGAGTTTGTAATTTTTAAGTGGAAAACGATAAAAATAAGGAAAATCAAGGCTAAAAGACAGTAAGGCGCACGTTCTGGCTGGGGATTCCGCTTACTCTTTGCTCCTCTCCCTTCCGGGCCATTTGTTTCCCATCCATGTTGTGTCCCCCAGAGCAGCAGCAGCTCTGCAAAACTCAGCTAGGTCGGATCCAAAGTCTGGGACGGGGGACCCGGAAGTGCTTGCCTTCATGTTCCTCACACCCATCAGACCCTCCATCTGTCTGGAGAGTGAAGTTTTATTTATGAATGTTAATATTCCACGTGAAATTCCGAGGTGCTGTGGGGAACCGTCTGGGGCGCAGGGGAGGGAGCCTGGCTTTGCAGAACCAGGACCGACACTGCGGTGAGGAAAAACTGGCAGGAAGAAGAGAAGCTGCTGCTGGCCCGGGAGGGGGTTGGGGGAGGACTGTGGAGCTGGGTTGGGCAGAGCAGCTGGGGAACTCAGGGCCCAGCGTGCTCATTTCCTTAACCGTCCGCTAGGGTTTGTGAGCGGGCGGGGAAGCAGGTGTGCAGCCCACAGAGTCCGGAGACCAGGCCAGCGACGAAAGGCGGATGGTAAGGAACGGGGAGACGCGAGGGGCGGATGAAGAAGGGATCCAGACCTGTTGTGCGCACACACCAGCTCCACGCCGGAGGAGCATGAGCTGCAGACAGGGACTCATAAAAAATGAGCAGAAATAATTGAATAAACTGGTGCAACTCAGAAAAAAAGGACCAAAGTGGCACCGTGAGGCCCGAGGATGTGGCTTTGGAGCAGATGCCATTCACCCGGTGAGCCGAGCTGTGAGACCTGGGCTTTCCCTCCTTCCTCGGGGAGCAGGGAGCGCGAAGGCCCCACTGCTGCCGAGATCAGCGTCCAGGCTCCCGGATCGCAGTCCAGGTGGGACCAGTGGCGGGCACCCGACCTGGCCCCTTTTCTCAGGTTGTCCACAGCCAGTCGGGGTGATCACTGGCGAAGTCGTGGGTGCACAGCTCTCTACTGGGTGTGACTTTACAGAGGAGGACCCGGGGAGCCCTCCGCCTGATGACGGAGGCCGGCAGGGAGGCTCCTGCAGCTTTCTGTTTGAGCTCCCCGGAGTTCCCTGCCCCTCGGCTGTGTGCGTGCCTTCCAGGTGGGCCTGTCCACTGTGGTCTCAGCTTGGGAGGTGCAGTGGTTTTTCTCTTAGTCACACCCAGTAATGTGACAATAATCTCTTCATGATTTCTGCCGCGTCTGTAACCCATCCCTCCATCCAACTCAGAGGCGATGTTCTATTTGTTTACTTACTTATTTTTGAGACAGGGTCTCACTGTATAGTCCAGGCTGGTCTCAAACTTACAGTGATCCTCTTGCCTCAGCCTCGTGAGTGCTGGGATTACAGACTGTGTTTTGCTACCACGTCCAGTACAAGAGTGATGTCTTAAAAATAAAATCTGGTACTGGTTTTCCCATACAGGAACACTCCAAGGGCCTCCTGTTACCAAGAGGATAAAACATAAATTCTTACCACGGCCCCAGCCCACATGACGGCCCTCCCCCTTCGTCACTTCCTCTCCTCTGCCCGGTCTCCGGGTCTCCAATCTCCAGGCCTCCACGGCACTACTCCTCCCTTGGACCCACGTTTCCGGAGTGCTTGGTGCTTTTGCTCTAAGTCCGGGAGCAGGAGCAGCATCCGAAGTGACAGCACCCTCTGGAAGGATTCTTCTGGGCAGAGACAGAACCCCAGGGACTCGGTCAGCCAGTCGATGGGGACAGGGCTGCGCACTCAGGGTGGGGGGACCCTCCCGGAGGGGTTGTTGGGCGGAGAGCCTGAAGGAGGCCAGGAGCAGGAAAAGCAGCAGAGTGGGAAGGGGCCGGCCCAGGGGATGCGGCCAAGATGCCCAGTGCGGAGAGGGTGCTGGTTGGCAGTGGACGGAGCTCTCTGGGTCTCTGAGACGTGGACTGACCTTCATGTCTACCTGCAAACACACGCTCTAGATGGTATCCGTGGGTTGTCTACCCTTCCCCACGCATGCACCCACTTGCCTGCTAAAGTGTCCCAGTCATCTTCATCATGACATCCACCAGAGTTTCTTTAAAACATTTGACCAGCCAGGCGTGGTGGCACACACCTGTAATTGCAGCATTTGGGTGGCTGAGGCGGGAGGATCGCCTGGAGTTCAAGGTCAGCCTGGACTATGTAGTGAAACCATGACTCAAAACCAAAACTGAGAGAAGCTTGACCCTGCTTCCTGAACTCTACGGTTCCTGCTTCTGTGCTTTACTTTTCTCCTTTACATCACACCTTTACAGGTTACCAAATTGTAACCTGCTGGATAGTTCAGTTATTTGTCATGTTTATTGTGTTTTCTCCTGGGTGAAACGCAGACTTCCTGAGAACCAGCGTTCCATCTGTTTTGTCGATGGATCTGTCCCATTCACCAGCTGAACACCTGGCAGTGAGGAGATGAGTAAATATTTGGATTCTGAATAAATGGGTGCTGCTCATGTGCGTTGGTTTCATAGGTGCAGGAGGATATCAGATCTTGTGGTTCCCCTGGAATTTGTCTTGGAACAGGTAGAAATCTGTAGAGAGCAGTTACCAAGCCAGCTGCTTGGAGGACATTTATTTAACAGGATTCTGTCCACGGAGAAATCTCTCCACGTAGCCGTGACTCATCACTGCGCCCTCGTTATTTGAGACATTTCACCATCAAATTCTTAATAACTTTTCCCATAGTGCTTTGCTGCAAGGTTTAGTTGGTAAAAGTCACGTTGTGCACAGGTTGCGGGTCCTGCAGTGTTAACGTCTACGAGTGAGTGTGTAGCGCGTGTCTGGATGATATTGAAGGACTACGCTCTTTAGATTCAGAGTTTCTTCAGTTTTACTGTGATACTGATGTGTTTGTTATAAACCCGGTTCTTTGGCCCCAAATAGGATGGACTGTCGTTTATTAGTTTGAGACAGGGACTGGGTGGTCTCTCCCCTCGCCCAGGCACTCGGTCGGGGTGAGGAAGGAGAAGGTCAGGCAAAGGTCAGAGTGTAGCTGGGCCAGGCCCTCGGTAGTCCGGACTCCTTCGTGGTCTCGGGTGGCTCCGTGGTCACTGCTCACGTGGGCTGCACAGGGAAGGGACTGGCGGGGGAGGAAGGACAGGTACCAGTGGAGCAGCGCTCACTGCCTTGGATAACCAGCTTAAGAAGGAACCCTGTGTGGACGGCTTCGTAAGTCAGAGATTTTTAGAGCCCCGAGGGCCGGAGCGTGGTGATTATAATATAGATTATAAGCTGATAATCTCCAACTCTTGCACAGAGGTAAGTGAGGCTTGTTTTAGGCTAGATCAATAAGGTATTGATTCAGATTTATTCATTTTATATGTGTATGGTCATCTGTATGACAGCAGTATGATCAAAAATATGGAGAATGTTTCAAAAGTCTTTCAAAAATATATATTACAGTAAAACACATTCTCAGAATACTCCCTCTCGCTTCAAACAGTGACTTTAGTTGGCAAGCCCTCCATAGTAGGCTTACTTTCTCATTTTTACTCATTTAAGATTGGTTCAACCTTTACTGCCTCAGGTTTGCAGGATGTATGTGTGCAAATAAAGCCTCTGCCTTTGTGGAACTTGCATCGTGTAATGAAGACCCTGGTGTGATTGAAAAATATGGCGGATGTCTGCAATTTTTAAGAAACTTTATCACCGTAAAAGACATTTCCCTGAGTCCTCCTCAAAATCCCCCTCCTGGTTTTGGACATTTATCTCGTGGTTCTCGCCACTTTGTGAAGCAGACCTGGATGCCCTTTGTCCTGAGTGTCTTTCGTTACGCTGTCGTGGCTGCCTCGATGTCCTCAGTGGGTTCAGATGTCTCCCTCTCACGGTCATTTTGACTTTGGGAAGAGCCGGAAGTGACTCGGTGCCAGATCCGGCGAATGAGTGAACGAGGTGGGCGGAGACAGCATCTGCCTTTCGGTTGGACGGAACTCCGTGCAGCACTCGCTGTACGTTTTGATCACAACTCACAAAGCCCTCAGGAAAGAGGACTCCAGAGCCGCTTCAGAGAGTGGCGAGGATGGTGGGGTGCGTGTGTTCGAAGGGAGAGGCAAGACTTTGAGGAGTAATAATGGCAGTGTATCTTTTGCTATACATTTTTTTAAAACGAGCACTCATTTTTCATCATCCCTTATCTTTATTTTTCTATTGATAGGCTTTTTGTACTTTTTAATGCCTTTCTTGAGTTCATGCTAAATTTTTTCTGCATATATAGGTACACACTTATGAGTCAAATTGAGTTGTATGCATATTTCACTAAGTATTTCCAAATTGTTTACCAAAAGAAGTTGTATCAATTTAGACTCCTACCAGCATATACATATGTGGTTCCAAGTGTCGTACTTCCTGTCTAGTATTGGGGATTGTCAGATTTTTTAAAATTTGTTGAAACAGTGTTGCATTGTGGTTTTAATTTGTTTCCCTGATTAGCATCTTTTACAAATTTGGAAGTTAGTCATCTTGCTTTTTCTTTGAGTTACCTGTTCATGTCTTCAGCCCATTTTCACCTCTCGCCTGTTTTTTTACTAAGTCACAGAAGTTATTTCTATATGGAAGACATTAACTGCCTCTCACTTTTGTGAGAACCTGTGTTTATTTAGGTGTTGAACTTCCTCCTCTTGGTGTACTGCTTTGTTGCGCTGCCTAGTGATGTACCTAAACTTCCACAAGAGGGCGCGCTGTCAAAGTTTTAAATTGGTTACCATTTCCTGTCCAATGGAAGTTATTCTATATTTTCAAGTTAAATTTTAGGTCACTTAGTGTATACCTCTTAATTGCAATAACACTGAAACCTGTAGATGTAGGAGAGGCAGAGGTAGTAGAAAGAACCAGTATGATATTTTTGCTGGTACGGAAAATCTTGAAGAAGTGGCCTTATAATAAAAATATGGTATAGCCGAGGAACTTGCAGTTGTACACACACTACTTCAACAGTAGGAACTGAGGTGATGGACATAATTACAAGTACAGCTCGGAGGGTGTAAACACCCAGCAAACCTACAAACACACCCACCAAAACTGAATTGAGTTCGAGTTACGGGAAGGCAGCGTTTGTCTCAGTGTAAGGAAAGACTTTCTCAAAATGAAAAGCAGTCACCATGGGCTGAGTTAGTTCACCGGTTTCCAATCTTCTGGTTCTGGTAGCGAATGTGCCGACCTTGTGAGAACTGAGAATCCCAGGGGTCCAGGGCTGGGGTGCATCTGTCTTGAGTTGAGCCGTCCCTGTCATCGCCGACGACGCTGGAGTCCAGTCATTTTGTCACTGCAGTTTGTGGCTCAGGTGGGGCTAGAAGGGTGCCAGCTTCATGTAGGCCGGGATGAGTTGTAGCGGGTCGCGTTTTCCTCTCCGGGAGTAGGGGTACAGTTGGGGGCCCGTCAAGGGAAGAGGGCCGTGGATGCCTGGTTTTCTGGCCCTTAATACCCGATCTCACATTGCTGGCCCAGTGTGGCTCGCAGAGCTGCACCACCGACTGCCCTGGCCTCGGGGTATCGGCTGTGACCTGTGCATCTCTGTCCTGGCCCACAGCGGCCCTGGCTGGAGAGTGCTCTGTGGGAGCAGGTGCCAGATAGTGGGTGGCAGGGGAAAGCAGAAGTAGAGGGGGACTTGGGAAAGACAGAGTCTGCAAGGATTCGGAGACCAAGAGAGACAGGAGAGGAGAGGAGCATAAAATAACATTCACCATTGTCAGATGAGGTTGGACGTCATAAATGATGATTAGCGACGTGCGAGACTGGGCACGGTGAGCACGTTCCCACCGTCCTGAGCCCCCGTGCACGTGCACGACCGTCCCTTCCTGTGGCTCGCACCATGGGCGGTGCAGACGGACCCAGTCATTCTACTGGTCCCTGTGCACATCTGCGTAACAAGAAGTCGGTAAAGTGTTCTAAATCGAGGTAGCCACTTGGATTCAAAAGTGTACTGCCCAAATATAAATACTAACTAATGCTATTCATACCAATTATAGATTAGTACAATAATTAACAAATACATTGACTGCATAAAAGAGATGTATTTATATTTGTGGATTTCTTTAAAACATTTTATACACAAAAGCGGCTGATTTCCACAGAGTGCACAAAAGATCATAATGCATTTGGCCACAGAATTTTTGATACTGTTCTTTATGTCACCTGTGTGTACTTCTGGCCAGTTCTAAATAAGCTTCTATAAAATGAAGTGTTTTTTTCAAGTAATTTGCACCTGGGGAGTTTCTTCATGGGTTAATAGCTTATCCCCAATTGATTCTCTAAGTTTCAACATGGAGAACTCACAAGTGCCCGGTCGCTGGGGTCACAGATGAGCTGTCCTGCGGGTTCTTATGCTGTTTCAGTGTTTCCCTTAAGGAAATGCAACACGAAAAGCTCTGATCTGCTAAATTGGTGCCTTTCTTTGTGTCGTTGTCATCCAAGATCCTGAGAAGTGGCAGCAGCCGCCTGGTGGGACGGTCATACGTGTGCGTGTGTCACCCGTGGTCCAGGCCAGTGAGAGCAGTGGGGCACAAACAGGAGCCACCCGGCAGCGAGACACACTAATCCTGGTCCCGCCGTGGACATACTGAACTCTGCTTCATTTTATGCGTCTTTACTATACAGTCCTCACAGAGTTAATGTGTATCATGTAAATTATGTGCTTAGGAAGTGACTCTCACCTGTAACCAGTGCGCAAGGTCAGCAGTTATGGTTACTCTTTATTTTATTATTAGCATCAGTATTTGGGGTAGTAAAAGCTTATTGAGCCTGATATTTTAAACATTGGTTGAGTTCAGGGCCAGAGATTTGGCTCAGTGGCGCCGCGCCTGCCTCTTATGCACAAGGTCCTGAGTTTGATCCCAGGTACAAAAAAAAATTAGGTAAGTTCATTCCTAGCTGTACAATAATTAGGACTAGAAGGGAAATATTGGAGTTTCTGTCCATTTTTAGTTCTGTGCATAAAATTAGACAAACTAACGTCGGATCATCCAAAGTGCAAGGTAATAGTGCTGAGCTGAATCTTGAGCTGATGCGGTTTTTGTACCCCTTATGATGTAAATTCATGGCAGATCGCTTTAGGAAACTTCTGCAGCTCCATTCGGGAGCTTTTGGAATGGGGTAGACCCTGTGCCGCTGCTGCTGCAGGCTGTTTGTATCACTGAAAACTCTGATGGGTTCGCCCTCCCTGGCCTAGGGGTTTTAACCCGGATGGAAAACTTCCACTGTGCTGTTCCTTTGTAAATGTGCAAGGTGCATTTCCCAGCTCGTGGGGTAATCTTGGTAAGAAACTGAGGAGGTGACATTTTTGCATATTTTTTGTCAAGATCTGGAGATGTGATGAAAAAAATAGATTTTATTTATTTATTTTTTTATTTTTTTTGTGGACCGAAATGAGCAAAATCGTGTTCTTCTTTTTCGGTGCTGTACGAAGTCCTGATGTTTAGTTTAAGAAGGGAGAACAGTGTCTACTCACAGACGCCCCTTAGAGGATGGGATGTTTCCTTACAGACAGAAAGCTTGGCCCTGGTGCTGTCAGAGAATCCTCGAGTGACAGCGGCCCCAGGCAAGGCCATTGTGGAAGCCCAGAAACCGGGGCAGGGATGGCGGCAGCGTCTACACCGAGAGCTGAGAGTAAGCCGGTGTAGACACTGACCATCCTGAAAGATGGGTCTGCCTGCAAGCACCACCCACTTGGAGATGAGGTCACAGGACAAGCGGGGACAGGAGAGGAAGCTTCTAGATCAGCCCTCTCGCCAGGGCTGGGATGTCCTGTCCTGAGGACCTCAAGGCCGGCTGATTTCTGAGACTCTTCCCTCGCCTAGCCGCCTGTAAAACTTGGTGATCCTGTGGAAAGATTTCGACGCATTCCAGTGCCTATTAACCTACAGTTCTGACTTTTTATTTTTCATTTCTTTTAGACCTGGGAAGACCCTCATCACAAAGACAAGGACACCGGCTGCTGCGGGGATAATGACCCTATTGATGTTTGCGAAATCGGCTCCAAGGTTTGTTTTATAGACAGTGTTAGCTCCATCGGATAGTGGGTTTGTTTTATGCGTGGCCTGAACTATTGTCATAGCCTCAGGTTCTTTTCAGAGTTGAAGGCTGTGATCCCTGTGCTCCTTGGTCTCTGTTGTTCTGTGCTCTCTCACGCCGGGGGTTGCTGTCCCGCAGCAAGTGCCAGCGAGCCCACGGCCCGACTTCTTAAGAACAGCCCATTCACACACACGTCTATCTGTGCCGTCTGCACTGCAGCCACAGTCGGGGTGGCCAGAGCCTCCCGTATTTGCTCTGCGGTCCTTCGTAGGACGTTTGCAGTGCCTGTCTTAGCGTCTGTGCCACTGTCCGGACAGAAGCTCCACTCCGGTGGCAGCTGCCTGCTGTGCTTCTCTCCTGTGTGCCTGCTCCCGGGTTGGCCCGTCCTGCGGGCAGCAGCGAATCCTGCCCGCCCGAGCGAGGTCGCTCCTTCTCAGTCCAGCCCATCCTTGGCCGCCTTCCGTCCTCACTGCTCTGACTCTGCTGTCCTTGCTCTCTGCGGACAGTGCCCTCTTCCTTCGCCCTCTCCCAGCGGAGCCGGCGCCTCTGTCTCTTGGGGATCTTAGCCTTTCTCTTTCCTGTGTTCACCAGGGCATGGTTGAAGCTGACCACAAACTTCATTGTGCTCTTCCTTTGTAGAAGGCGTTGTGCATTTCATAGCCGATGGGGTAAACTTGCCAGTAGGCAGAACAGTTGACATATGCGTGTTTTGTGCAGACCTCACGATCTGACCCGGTGCCTCCCATTTCCCCTGGAATCTCCAGCGCTCTGTGAGAGTTTCGCTCTCATTGAGGCCTCTGTGACTTTCCATCTGCCAAACCCAACACACTGGTCTTTTGGGCTTGGCTTCGAGCTTGCTTTGCCTGGCCTGGATTCTGTGTAACGTCCTACATGTGCTCTGCTGTTCTGGCGCCTCCTCTCCCTCCAGCAGCTCCGTCTTCTGCCTGTTCCTCAGGTGCCGGCTGGAGGGTGCCCCGCCCCACTTCCTGTGGCCTCTGCGGAGCTGCCACCTCCTCCTGTGACCCTGTCCCTCAGAGTCCTGGCTTTGCTCTCAGACGAATGACCCTGACCTATGTCCTCACGCCCTGCCTCTAATATTACAGACATGTTTACAGTTTACACATAAGTCCTGGCACATAGTGTTGAGTACATGGCTACTAAAATCTGTTAACTAGTTATTGTTTTGTGTACATGCAGTATTGATGTAAGTGATGACATGAGGATACTTCAAAATATTGTGAGATACAGGAGAAATTCTCATGGACCAAGAGCTGTCTACCACGAGCAGGGAAGGCAGCCTCAAATGGTACAGTGAGCGAAGTCATACAAAATAAACACTGAATTCCAGGGCATTCTAAAGTTTGTTCTAAAACTTAGAAAATTCAAGTTATAATGGAATTAAAATCCAGCACGAATCTTCTCACACAGTCCTGGTATCCTGGTACCTTATACTGTTTATATCTTTCTGTGGTTATCTTTCCATGTTTTCTTCATCATTGGACAAATATATAAACATTTTTAGTTTATTAGGCATTTTTTCCAGTTTATTTCGTGTTGTACAATCGACACAGATAAAGCCATTTTCATGAGCACAGCTTTTCCTTTTTCGTTTCTTTTGGGATAACTTCATTTCTTGGGGAGAATTTCCAATATGGCGCCCAAAGATGTCTGCCCATAGCCCTGGAGCATGAGAAAGGGTGGCTGTGCCGGGTTGTCCAGGTAGCCCAGGGCAACTACATGAGCCTGAAGAGTGTCCTCTGGCTGGGGACAGAAAGAAGCCTAAGGCACTGTTGCTGGTGTGAAGGCAGAGACAGCTGGGGGTAGGGGACGTGTGGCCCCAGAGCCGACCCTGCTTGACACCCAGCAAATGAACAGCGACCCGGATCCCCGGAAGGGGAGTCTCCCTTGATTCTGGCTTTGTGACACTGAGCAAAGAAGGAAGCCACCATGCTGTGCCTGGACTTCTGATGCATGGAAACCGTGAAAGAACAAACTTCAACCATTTGGGCCTTTCAGTCACTTGGCACAGCAGTGGAAACCATATTTCAAGTTGGCAGGCTTTAAGCAGGTTTATTCCCTTTGTTTTCTTGGGTTGATGGGGCCCAGGTGAGTCTCCCTCATTCAGACCTTGGTCAGTGTGGAGCTTCTTGTCCTAGACCCAGGTATGCAGTGAGCACTGGGAAGGCATGCGCAGAGGAGCCCATGTGGCGACCAGAAGGGGACATTGGTGCCCGCAGGCATCCTCTCTGCCACTTCCCATTCTGTTTTCTCAGTAACCCTGGCAAAGTGGACTTCCCTGTGCAGGACATGTCCTGTAAACGACGGCATAGAATGTGTGACCTTCCGTGTCTGGCTTCTTGGGCTTATCACACTCTAGGTTCATCCAGTTGTGGCACTTTTAGCTGTTGTTCTGACTACTGCTGCTAGAAACATTGTATACAAGCTTGTGTTTGGATACTTTGTTTCATTTATGTCCCCTAGGAGTAGAATTGCTGGTCATGTGGTAATTCCAGCTTTGGCCTTTGGAGGAGCAAACAAGCTGTTTTCTATAGCATTTTATAGTCCTATCCACAGCCTCGCCATCGTTGACTGTTTGTTGGGGTCTTTGTTGTTGTTATTGTTTGTTTTTAATAACGGTGGTTCTGGTGGGTGTAAAATTATATTGTAGTTAACTTTTAACTCAAGTTTGTATGTCGTATGTCACCTAAGTCAAATGTGGTGCTTATGTAGAAAAGCAATCAATGTATTTGTTGGAGTTGTGGTTCAGGTGTGATGTTTTCCCCAGCTTTGCTGGGGTACAGTGGACAGATAATAAGCTGCACACGGTGGAAGTGTGCACATCTGAGACCAGAGCCAAGACAGCACCTCCACTCCCTGCCCCGCGGGGGCGCTCGGTCTCCCCTCTCCACACCCGGAAGGAGCCGAGCTTTGGCTCCGGGCTGGCCTGGGCCCCAGATCTGCGTGCCAGGCTCTGTGTCCTTCCTGAGATGCGGGTGGCGTTGTGTCACAGGCACTGAGAAAGATGAAATGCGCAGGCCGTGGCCAGGGCCCACCTCTCCGAGTCTGGTGAAGGCTCCTGTCTTCTCCTCCTTTGCTCTTTCTGTTCTTCCTCCTGCCCCTTCCACTACCCAACGTAGAGAACCCACTTTGACCTTGTCCGGACCGCCCGTATCGAAGGGTCGTACCTGTTTTCTGACTTCTCTGTCCCTGCGTCCTCTGATCGTATTCTCTGCTGGAGACCCCTCCTGACTCTTCTGCCTGGCGCAGGGCAGTGGCCTTTGAGCCGAGAGTGGCGTTCACAGTGTCATAGTGTTGATCTCACCTTTAAACTCACACGTGAATTGTCTGCCAGTGTTTGAGCCTGACCTCGTGTGTGTGTGTGTGTGTGTGTGTGTGTGTGTGTGTGTCCCAAACAAGACTGTAGACCTTTGAGAATGGAGTTTTTGCATACAAAGTGCTTACAATACAATGCTTAGTACTTAGGAGAGGCCACACTCAGGAGGATCTGCTTAATATAATCATGTCTGTTTCACACAAGTGAGATTTCAGTTTAGTTTGTACAATCGTATTAGTCTGTTGTGTAAACTATAGCTTCACACAGACTTATATTAAGATCTTAGGGTCATTTTGCAAATGTTATGAAAGAATTCATTCCACTTTATGGTTTAAAATCATTTTTTTGTCACCTAAGTGTGATGTGCATACGTAATACCAGCACCCTGGGAGGCTAAGGCGGGAGGATTGCAAGTTTGAACCCAGTCTGGGCAGCTTAATGAGACCATGTCTCAAAATAGAAAAAAGCAGAGGAGCTGGGTGTGTAGCTCACTTCCTAGTTCCACCAAAAAAAAAAAAAAAAAAAAAAAAA